AAGCACTGGATATAGATGATAGATAGATAGATAGATAGATAGATAGATGATGGATAGATGGCTTTTTTTCCTCATAGAACGCCCAGAACGGAGTTCCGGTACCTTTTTTGGATGGAACCTTGTAGGGTAGGCAAGACGGGTTGTATGACGTGTGTGAGTTCCGGCACCTTTTTTTTTATATAGAAAAAAAGCACTGGATAGATAGATAGATAGATAGATAGATAGATAGATAGATAGATAGATAGATAGATAATCACCTAAGGACCAACATTAAAATATACTCTGCAATACACCATTGACTTTCTGAACATAGTTTTCCAAAGTGTAAATTACTTTAAAGGACATTCCTTTTTTCCGTTCTTCCTCTTCATCTGAATTTCATAATTGTTGTTATATGATCCTAATGCTTGCCCAAAACACTTTGAAGACATACTACATACAGCAATAGAAGAGAATACTTGTAGCTCAGGATTAAACTGTGGAGTCCTCGTGTTCTCTGAGCTTGGTTGCTTTCTTGTAGATGTTTCACTGCCCAGTAAGGTTAAATTATCAGTGCTAGAAGGGAATATGTTATAAAAACAGAGCGCAAACCCCACTCCCTTCTAACACTGATGATGTTACCTAGTTGGGTGTAATGAAATGTCTGCAAGAAAACAACCAAGCTCAGAGAGCACCAAGGTATCAAATCTTTCCTTTCTTTCTATTTTCCTTTATCTTTCTTTAATTGTATAAATGAGCTAAACCACGATCAATCCCTGTGATGGAATATAATGGTCAGGCAAACTTTATTTTTAAACTAGATCTTGAAATAAAGTTTTGGAGTCAGGTTGGTGTGTTACACATTTTCAGTTTTATTTTATTGTGTTTATTATGTGCACAAACCCTTCATTTCACCTTTCATATTAAAAAGACTTCATGAAATAAGGCAAAAAATAACTTACCATTATATGAAAATTAATTGTAACCAATCACAAAACATACATATTAATAGAAAAAGTCACACTATTTTTTTAGGGACTATGATATAAAATGAATAGATGCCAACTATAGCAAAATCAGCCAAATGTACAACATGGTATAAGAAATTCAACTCTCTATAAAAGAGCATATAAAAATATGTACAAAAAAATCTAAGATTGATAGAAAACACATTCGCATATACCTTCTTCTCTTCTCAAAGTGCTTTGCATTAACAATATTATACAAGACACTCTACTTTGTGTTCAAAAACCTGTTAACTTTAAAACTAATTTCTTTGATTTTATCTGTATTTTTTTAAATACACATAAAAAGTGCTGGTTTTACAAGTTACAAAAAAAGCAAGTTGCTATGAAATGGCACAGTCAAAACTGGGCAATAAACACAATTACATTTTTTAAAAAGTTTTGTAATAATGGTATTCAACAGTACTAAAAAGGTGACATTTATATTAACTCCAGTGTATAGTTTTCCCTATCATGGATATAAATACTTTTGAAAAACAGATGGGCAGTCCCATCCCTGATTTAGCCCAGCCAGCCTGGAAAAGAAAGTTTGCTTATTTTTAAGCTTCCAAAGAACCATTAATTTCTTGCAAGAGTTTAGAGAAGCAGTCTCCAATCTTTTTGGCTCCAGGGACCGGTGGGAGGATGGTTTTGTGCAGTACCTGGATCCCGCGCATGGGCAGATGCATGGACCGGTTCCTAATGGGCCATGGACCAGTATTGGGGATCCCTGGTTTAGAGGGTAGTAGAAAGGAGGTAATAATTACAATTCAATCTTACAGTGGTTTTCTTCTCATTGTTTAGATATGAATGGCTGTGCAGAAAGCAGGTACCTCTGGGCTGTGTGTGGAAATTCTGCTTCCTATACAGATTAAAGTCCACGAAGGTGCGAAGGGAGTTGGTTGGTTGCACAACATAGCACAACTCTTTTTGTAAACTACATTTATTAATATAGTGATACTTATTAGCTGCATCGTCATACAAAAATAGTTTATATCAAACTCCTTTATACAGGTAAGTAAATCCAACTTTCCCAAACTTAAGAGCTGCAAAATATTAGTATTGTAACATGACCCTGTTCTATTTGGTGCTGTTCATCAAATAAGGGAGATCTAATTACCATGAAAAACCCCAGTTTTGTCATCAGATTTGGTCTTATGTATTTCGTGATACTGAAATGTGAAGTAGACATGTTAATTTGATGCAGGGAAGGCATAGGGTTTTTAGGGAAAATGAAACACTCTTTGTAAGCATGGTGATTTCCATAGCACATTTAACTTTTTACCAGAAGAACATTTGCAGTAATTTGTTGTAATGAATCTCAAGAAACTTAAGTCAAATTCTTGTAAAATTAGCGAGGCTTCATTTGGGTGGCCCACAAGTAGGATTTCCTTTAACCTTGAATTCTGAGATGTGAGGCTTGTTCACACTTTTCAGAATTCAAGGTTAGAGGAAATCCTGTTTGTGGCCACCCAAATGAAGCCTTGCTGACGTCCCTGGATGGGATCAGATTGCTTGGAGGTGGGAGGGGATTGGGTCTTTCTGGACAGGACTTTTGGATTTGCTGCTTTCAGTGCCAATGAAAAGGGCTTGAGCAAGGTAGAAAGGTGGATAGAAACGGGGGAATAGGCTCGCTACTAAAACCTGACCTTCCATGTATCCCTGTGCTCCATTTTTCTGACAAAAAGAGTTCTTAAAGAAAGGAAGTCCTATTTTCAGTGGCATTTAATGCAAGTATAAGTACTTCTTTTCAATAAAAGCAAAAAGCTCCTTTTCTTAACAGGTGCAGCTCGTATTGCTAAGCTACCAAGAATAAAATAGTCTTTGGGGACTATAGAGCATTTTTCAAAAATTAAAACCAAGACATAATAAAATCTGAGAAGGACAACTTCATTTCTAAACTGTAAGCCTAACTGTAAAGATTCAGCTATGTAGTTCTCTCTCCTTCTCTCCCTCCTTCCCTCCCCCCCTCTCTCATCTATATCTATTTTGTATACCCATTTTCAATCCTCCCCATAATATGAGCTGCTGCAAGAATCTACAGGCACTTTCTCATTAAATAAATGGCTATGGATAGATGTGATTATGTAGGGATCGGGAGAAGGGAGCCTAAACTCCATCCTCCAAACAGATGGCTTTGGCACTGTTACTTTTATAGAAATAATCCAGCCTCCTTCATCACTAGATACAAAATCTTTTTATCCTGCAGAGGATGACAATAAAGTGCAATCAAAATCTGATTCAGCAAGGGGATCCCCACACAGATTTCTTTTGCTGAAATAGAATAAACATACTTTGCTTTTATACTAGTAGTGAATATTTTAAAAGGTGGCTACACTGTATCCATAAATTCACAAAGCACCTTAATAAATGTAAATATAATTCAGTATCAGGATTTTGGAAGCTTGAATGATGGTTTTAGAAACTTTCTACTTGTTCTTACTATAGTTTATGTACAATAATTCCTTTGGCTGACATCTTCACAGATTTTTTTTTCTTTAGCGATAACAGGTCATTACCGAAGACCATGCAGAGTGAGAAATTCTTCAAATGATTTGGCCACAATATGACCAAACAAGCCACAAGTAAATAATGAATAAAGAAGGCTGCTGTTTGAATTACATGACTCTGTATCTATGACAAAGACCACACCTTGAAAGGCAAATCCACATTTTACTTCCCAAACATATTTATAACTATTCAAAAGCAACACAAAAGCCTTTGCAATGGAGTTAATACCTGATGTGCTAACTGTTTTTTTTAGCAAAAAGAGGATAGAAAGTAGAAAAAAACCATCAGATTTATATATTAGCATACAGTATGTGCAATGTTAATGTGGGGGAAAATAAACCTTTAAAATACATGATGAATAAAGTACAAAAGATCTCTCACAGATGTACAAAATTTCTGAATGTAACTACTGTATGTGTAACCTCAAAGATCTGAAATGACATGCTAGGCCAGGGGTCTTCAAACTTGGCCCTTTTATGACTTGTGGACTTCAACTCCCAGAATTCCTCAGCCAGCGTGACCTGGCTGTGGAATTCTGGGAGTTGAAGTCCACAAGTCATAAAAGGGCCAAGTTTGAAGACCCCTGTGCTAGGGTGATATGTTTTCGATTAGAACTTCAAATTTGGGAGAGGATATTAATTCTTCTTCTTCAGTGGAAATCCTCAGTTTTCTCCCAATCTCTGTTCCTGTATTTGGTCCTCCATTTGACTGATACAATGAGGATAGCAGATAGGAAAGGTAAACTCAGTTTCAGTGGGAGGACTGATAGAAAAGGGAGACTTGGCCTTCCTCTCCCCTGCAACACAGCACTAATTCAGATCACTGCCCTACCCCATCCGCACCTGGCCTTTAAAAACATGAGCCTGGGAGGTCACCCACTTTATGGACAAATTGTCCCCAAAATATGCAGGAGAGGAGCATCTGGAAATGCTGAAGCTCAGTTCTCTGATTCTGTATGGAAGGTACTCTTATCTTTCTTACATGCGTATCAAACACTGTGAAAGTTATCCAAATGGCATGAATTATTTGCTAGCACTAATAAAGAATATCTATTCTAAATCTGTATATCTGCGTTTTAAAATTTTCTACAGAGAATCCATCACGTGAAACATAAACATTAAATTATAATGCATAAATCCAGTAGAATAAATTCTCTTCAAGTGAGCATGGCTAAAAAAAAAAATCACCAGCACACACCTCTTTAAGCTAACTGTTAATACTGGATGCTGAAAAGAAGCTCAAATTGTACTGTTGTCACCAATATCATATCACAAAAAATACGTTCCCTTTTCACCCTCCATCCTATGAGTTTATGTGCTTAGATTTCAATGCACTGCAAGGGAGGTTCTTTATTTTAGAAATCTGCTTTTGTGAGAGGTTTATTGTTGTTGACCATTTTTTGAATTCCTCCAAGAGGGTTTTAAAAACTTAAAATCCCAACAATTTGTTTAAAAATATACTAAGCAGTGCAATAATTATTTTCTTTTGGGAATGGTTATGCAACAGAAAAGGCCAAATTAAAGAGCAATTGCTCACATTTGGCAAATACACGTCAACCAACATCTTGCAACATCTTATATTAGCTGCAGCTGTGAAGTTGGGATCTTTCTGGTGATGTTTTCTTTATTTCTTGAGCAAGCTGTTGTGCTGACCAACAGAAGATGATCTTTAGTAGGCTGAATGGTTGAGATGATATGTAGTCTGTGCTTCCTCAGCCTTCCATATAAAGTGAAGACAGTTGACTAGGACAACGATCCACAGCATTTATATGGAGGAAACTTGCATCTTCCACCCCACTGCGCAGTGAGTCACCAAAGGCCATTGGAAAATCATAAACTGGAGAAAAATGAAGATATTTAGACAGCAGTCAAACTTAACTTGAAAAACTCAAAGTGATTTTACACAGGGGAAAAAATGGCAGCTTAGCATGAATCAGAAGCAACTGTGGGATTCCTTAGGCATATTTGGAAATCTAATATGTGTTAGGAGAGAAAGGGATGTTAAGAGAAGTAACACTGTGTCAGAACTGAAGGAGGAAAAGTGTTTTGTCAGTGATTTGAAACAGATTGGACAGGGGATCGAGGAATAGATGAAGACTCTTCTTTCTGTTTCGCTGCTCTAACTTCAACTGATGTTTAGGTTTTTTCTGTACCTGTTCCTTCTCTGTTTAGCAAATTGGAGCTCTATTGTTAAGCGTTAAAATTTCCTGTATTTCCCTCTAAGCCTATGGAAGTCTTGAGAATACTAGGAAAGGTTATTAATAAAATGAACGCATATATGCTTCATCTTTAATAGAACCGTGAAGAGAAAATTGCAAGTGACAGTGACAGCAAGTGACTCTAGAAGGCTATGCCTTCAGAATACTCTGCCCTGAATTTGCTGGGTGATCTGAAGAAAGCTACACTCTGTCAGCCTCAATTAATGCATCTATAGTAGCGAGAATAAAACCAATTTATCTTACAAAGGTAAGAAGTAAGAATAAACATTAGAAGTATTAAATGTAAATATAGAATCAAGATATTTGGTTATTAATAGTATTTATCAAGTATCTTTTTCTATTGGTTCTCATAAATATCCCTGCTACCTGACGTTTGAAAGATAGTGACTGAATCAATTCATAAACATTATACATTTGGGACCAATCTTAAAATATGGAGGCTGTCTTTAGTCTGTTGGATGCCTTTTTAAAAACCAGAAGAGAGGATACCAGCTGCTGTGATGTGATGAAAGTGCAAATAGAAAATCTCATCTAGCCTCTCATTTATTTATTTTCTATCATAATGTTCAGAGTTAACACAAGAACCTGATTTAAAGTCTATAAGGCTTCAAGCATCTTGAGGGCCACTATAGTAGCCATAAAGTTCCTATAGGGCGATACCGAATTATCATAGGAAATGTTATAATGTTCAGTATAAACTATGATCTATTCAGTGTAAGGAATTATTTCCATTTGAGATATAAATAATAAGATGGAAATATGGAAGTAAAGCAATATCCTACAACTTAAAATAATGTGAGAAGTGATTTTGTTCTCAACTAAAACTGAATCACGTTTCCAATGATGAAGGTTCTGGAGCTGGATAGTTGTATATCTTGTTACCAATTGGAAAAAAAGTCAATTCATAATTTGATCACATCTGTCTCCAGAAACTGTTTACGAAACCACTAATGTATAAGAGAACATGTATTTATTGTAAATAACACTATCACAATATTGTAATTGTCATACCTGTAATACCAGAATGTGCTGAAAATGCTTTATGGAAAACATCAAAACCCGCCTGACCCATAGATGTAGGTACCAAACAATCTTCAAAAGGAGGGACCATGTTACATGTTCCAATGTGTTGTATATTTCTCTGATTGTCAGTATAATGAGGGGAGCAGAAAGTTTGTAGTTGCCCATAAACACCTAAAAAGAAAGTAACAAGGTAACAAAGGTGCTTAAATAATGCATTTCCATTCAAACCAATGTATTCATTTGATTTTACATTTTCAAGCACACCGTTCCCTCCTACTTTTAAATCTTTGCTAGGGCCTAGTTCGTGTGCCATCATAGCACTTAATTGCTGTTTTCATGAGAATTATACATAAAAATAAATCACATTAATTTTATATCTAGTTTAATCTTTGAAAGTTAATATTTTCCTTATTATCAGGTGGCTAGGGCTGAAGGAATAGAATTTGGCTAATTCAGCACAGCTTCTTTTATTTTCTTCTAATTCCAACACTGTTGTGTGAAATGAAATAATACTAATTGAGTGTGTTCCAGTCAATTAATCAGATTTACAGGAAAAAACAAATTTAGCACAAGGTTGGACTCTCGTGTCTCAAATTTCCAAAAATACTGCTGAGCAAAGAGAACATATTTAGTGCTATTCTTTATAACTTTTTTTTAACAACATGAATAAAATACACATTTGGGATGTGCAAATATGTATGTGCATTAAAATCCTAAAAATACGATTGTAATATTTATAATCTTAAATGTACTTGGAAAATAGCGATTCGGAAAGAATGTCTCACTAAGTATAGTCACATATTCATAATTTACATTATTATTTGTGGAGCTGAAGGAATTGCTCAATTACTTATTTTTTTTAAAAAAAAACTTTGATGATCTTGCATAAATACATCTTATTGCCAGATCATTTGGGGTTCAAGAAAAGTATTGTGGAAAGTCCTAATGTGGGGATGAGCTTGGCCCTTTCTCAACTTAGCTCATGGTCAACCATCTTCAGGCACAACTGTGACTCAGTTGTAAACTTGAACAGTGTGGCTATTTTTTGTTGGAACAGTCTAGTAAACTCTTATTTCGTAGACTTTTGTTTAGTGGATTTCAGATATCATGGGGAAAAATATCTGGATCTGAAGACTGCTTGGGAAAGGAAAAGAGTTATGGCCTTGATTTCTTAACGCCTTTCTCTAAAAACTACTTTGTATCCTGGCTGGCCTTTTTCATGCTTTTCTGCCAATAGATTATATTATCTTGATATCTTCTCTTAAAGAATCTATTGCGTGGAAATGTCAATGGACAACAAAATCAAGCCAGAGGGAAAAATGAATAGAATTGAATGACAGCATAAAGATTCAGAATGTAGCAACTAGTAAGACAAGCAGCCAGAGAAGAGCAACAAAGACGATTAGGGGACTGGAGGCTAAAACATATAAGGAACGGTTGCTGGAATTGGGTATGTCTAGTTTAACGAAGAGAAGGACGAGGGGGGACATGATAGCAGTGTTCCAATATCTCAGGGGCTGCCACAAAGAAGAGGGAGTCAAGTTATTCTCCAAGGCGCCTGAAGGCAGGACGAGAAGCAATGGGTGGAAACTGATCAAGGAGAGAAGCAACTTAGAACTAAGGAGAAACTTCCTGACAGTTAGAACAATTAACCAATGGAACAACCTGCTTCCAGAAGAGGTGAATGCTCCAACACTGGAAGTTTTTAAGAAGAGACTGGACAGCCATTTGTCTGAAATGGTGTAGGGTTCCTGCCTGAGAAGGGGGTTGGACTCGATGACCTCCAAGGTCCCTTCCAACTTTACTACTACTACTACTACTACTACTACTACTACTACTACTACTATTATTATTATTATTATTATTACTATTATTAAAACTTTAAGCATATGAGCTGAGGCCTATTCTGTTACTTCACAGCAATCTTCTGAGGACAACGTAATTTATGCATCTTATCAGAATTAATGCCCCTCTAATATTGAATTAAACTTCCATCAGGTTTCCACTTGCTTTTTTAGAAGAGGATGATATATACAGTATGAAAGTCGCCTCTCAATAACGCTTCACATCCTGACAAAGAAATCAATGTTTTCTTTTATGGTATTTCCTTCATTTAGGGAACTGACGTTATTGTATTAGATAAGGTAGAAGTTCATTTGCTCTTTTTAAGTAATCACCCATTTAAACTCACCCTTGTAAAAAAAAAATATTCATGCCATTATTTTACCTGCTTTACAAGGCAAAACCCAGGCGCAGGCATTAGTGATGCTGCAAGTAAACTTTTATGTCACAAAAGGCAAATTAAAACTTTGTTTCATTTTTACAGGTGAAAAATAGGCTTTTTTCCCCAAGTGCTGCAGTCAAAAATCAATGATTTTCAGATTGAAAAGAAACCTAAATGCAGTCTGTGTGTGTGAGAGAGAAAGACAGAGATAGATAGATAGATAGATAGATAGATAGATAGATAGATAGATAGATAGATAGAATCATACAGTCAAGTAAAGCCGTAGAATGTATACTAGCTGAGTGCATATACAATTCTATGAATATTCTCCAATATTAGTTGGGGACCCTTGCATATCAAAGGACAATGCTTAAAACTTTCTATCTACTGACCATTCATAAATATTTCCAGTATCTACCGGTATATTTGAAAGAATATACATTCTAATCAACATACTGCCTCTCTCATATAACATAATATTAGATCTACTGGAGTTATTCTTTCATTTACCGGTAACCCTTAAAGATGTTGTTAGGGAGAAGAATTGACAGGCAAGAATAGACTCACTCTATCCTTTTGTCAATAACAAAATAGTAAAGTTTGAATGAACTCAAAACCTGTAACACCAAGCAATTTTATTTAAACTTATTTCTAAGCTATCTTCTACTGCAGAGCACACCTTGGGAACTTTGTTCTGAAAAGCCTTGCACAGATAAAAGAACAAACGAAAACATTTAAAAATACTTTGGAATAATCAGTAGTCAGGTTTCCGTTTACCAATATAAATTTTAGGTGCCTTGTGATGCAAGAATAAGGCGTAAATAAAGTGTACAAGCAAATATCATCCTTAGCAAGCTAGAAAAAAAATCCTTAAGTAAATGCCATCATGCGCCGTGCCATATCAAATGAATAAGAGCTAGAATGGGAAATAGAGATTATAGGGGCTGGAAAATTGTTGGCCTTGCTGCAGTGGAATAGAAGGGAAGCAGCAGAGAACAGCTATGTTGACCTTTACAAAAATTGATCTCTTCTCTTGATTTCTACAATTTCTACAATTGTGAAGATGACTGCATTACTAGAAATACAGTATCTCCTGAACTGTCCTCACTTTGGATTCTGAAAAAAACAGCCACATCCCTGGAAGGAGGAATAATTGGTTTGGTCTGTATTTCATTGCATGCTTACCTAAGTCATACTGCCCAGTCTAAAGACAAGCCAGAATTCAATTGTAGGTTGTTCTACATTTCCTGATTATTGCAATTCAAGATGTATAAAACCATGTGCAGAAAAACACATTGTATAAAAACATGTTAGGAAATATGGATCTGTCTATGGAGATTTACAGTCATCCAGGTCATAGTCTATGTTGTCAGGGTCACCTGAGTAGTGCAAATAGGTGTGGAGCCTTCTTGGAACTTCTGAAAGGATTGTGTTGTAGATTGGAGATAGATGATGTCATATCCCTCCCCCTCTGTTGAGAGACGGCTGTTCAATTTTGACATAGATGGCCTATGAAAATTGAACAGTCCTCTCTCAACATAGGGGGAGGGATATGACATCATCTACCTCCCGTCTGATGACACAGATAAGCTTCCAGGTGGCCTCAACAACTCTCTAAAAGAACGCAAATGACCAGCTGTCTGCAAGGAGTATAAATCCTTCCATTCCCCACCATCCAGTCAGAGCTGAAGACACTTCTTCGAAGAGAAGTGAAACATCTTCAAAGAAAAACAAGAAAGTCCAGTTGTCTTGTGAAAAAGCACCTTTGGGAGAAATATGGATTAATGAAACCTAAAATAGTATGTGCATCAGAAGAAATGTATAGGAAAATTGTTTTAAAAAAAGCAGATTACAAAGAAAGGCAGAAATAGATAGGTTAACTTAAGACCCAGACTCAGCATAGTTAAACTTTATTTTCTTAATTCCAGTTAGTAGGGCAGCCCACAATAAATCATAAAAAGACATCCAGAAACACACTTGCAGCTCTTGCCAGGGGAGCATCTCTCATGGGCACACCACGGCAAACCCATCATTGCCCAAGCTGTGTTCTGGATCAACTGAAGCTTCTGAATGGTATTCATGGACAGCTTCATGTGCAGCACACAGTTGAGCACTGAGGAGACTGGGGCATGGGGGCCTTCTGATCCAGGAAGAGGTTCGCCAGATAGAGCTGTGCAAAGTTCCCCTTGGCTACAACTGGTACCTGCTCTTTCAGAAGGAGTTTTGAGTCTAAGAGGACCCTCAGGTTGCTCACCACTCTTGAATGGGGAAGTGTTATACAAGAATATAGATGAAAAATCCTCAGTTCCAACTGATTTCCACAAATAGAATTGAGTCAGATGTAGTTCCTCCCCATCTAGGCCCACACAGCTTTGGGAAAAGAAGCTCATTTGGCAGAAGTTCAAATTCAGAGTTTACCAGCTTTCCTGATTTTGGGGCCATTGTTTAAGCTGCAGTTGGCTTCCAGAACTTTGAACAAAATATAATCTCCCTGAGAAACATTTTTCATGTTTTGTAATTTACTTAAAGTTTGACTAAGGTCATTTCCTCCACAGAGATATAGCAGGTTCTAGCATTACATAGCCATTAATGCCTCTTATATTGGTACAATGTTATCTTGACCCTAGATGCTTATTTTGATATGGAAATCAAACTCAAAATGTTGGCAACAAGGTGGGATGTACATTCAGGGCTTTTTTGTCATAGAATGCCCAGAACGGAGTTCCGGCACCTTTTTTGGATGAAACCTTGTAGGGTAGGCAAGGCAGGTTGTATAACGTGTGTTGAGTTCCGGCACCTTTTTGTTTTACAAAAAAAGCACTGTGTACATTTAACAAATAACTAACCTATTCTTCCATGTGTTTGATTATTCTTTAACGTGTTCATTTTGCACATATAGAAGTAGTAAATCTCAATATCCAATAATATGCACATGAGAGAGATAGATAGATAGATAGATAGATAGATAGATAGATAGATAGATAGAGAACACACACAATTAGGTACAAAAGCATACATATTTTTTTTACTTTTTTATTACCCAATCCCCATGTTTTGGGTAAGATATATTCTTTTTAAAATCTGGGGTATTTTCTCTCTATGTGTGTGTGCATTATGATGATCAAAAAATTCTTTTTTAAATACTTTCAAGTTTATTTAGCTATAGAATATTCAGCAATTCGATACAGAATTATTCACCCTTATTTTTTAAATAGTTTACTTCTTCATAAACTAGCAAACAGATTCCAAGGTAACATTAAGGAAAGTTTGTTGTTGTTGTTAGTTGCGAAGTTGTGTCCGACCCATTGCAACCCCATGGACAGCGTTCCTCCAGGCCTTCCTGTCCTCTACCATCTTCTGGAGTCCATTTAAGCTCACGCCTACTGCTTCAGTGACTCCATCCAGCCACCTCATTCTCTGTCGTCCCATTCTTCTATTGCCCTCAATCTTTCCCAGCATTAGGCTCTTCTCCATTGAGTCCTTCCTTCTCATTAGGTAGCCAAATTATTTGAGTTTCAACTTCAGGATCTGGCCTTCTAAAGAGCAGTCAGGGTTGATCTCCTCTAGGACTGACCGGTCTGATCGCCTTGCAGTCCAGGGGACTCGCAGGAGTCTTCTCCAGCACCATACATTGCAACTGGGAAAACCATGGCCTTGACTATATGTACTTTTCTTGGCAGGGTGCTTTTTAGTATGCTGTCTAGATTTGCCATAGCTTTCTTCCCCAGGAGCAAGCGTCTTTTAATTTCTTGGCTGCAGTCCCCATCTGTGGTGATCTTGGAGCCCTGGAAGATAAAATCTGTCACTACCTCCATTTCTTCCCCATCTATTTGCCAGGAATTGAGAGGGCCGGATGCCATGATCTTGGTTTTCTTAATGTTGAGTTTCAAGCCAACTTTTGCACTCTCCTTCTTCACCTGCATCAAGAGGCTCTTTAGTTCCTCTTCACTTTCTGCCACTAGAGTGGTATCATCTGCATATCTTAGGTTGTTGATATTTCTCCCGGCAATCTTAATTCCAACTTTTGATTCATCTAGCCCTGCCTTTCTCATGATGTGCTCTGCATATAAGTTAAATAGGCAGGGCGATAGAATACAGCCTTGCTGGACTCCTTTCCCAATTTTGAACCAATCAGTGGTTCCGTGTCCAGTTCTCACTGCTGCTTCTTGATCCGCATATAGGTTAAGTAAAGTTATTCTATTCCAATTACCGCTATAAATGCAATCCTGTGATGTTCACTCAGAAACAACTTCAAGGAAGCTTATTAGTTGGAATTAGAAATCTTCCATGCTAAGGAAAGTGTTGATGTGTCTAAAGCAGAGCAACCAAACAATGAAGCAGCCTAATATTACTGGGATAGTACAACTCAAATCTAAGGAATATAATTTTAGTATTTATTATATCATTCTAGCAAACCTATGTTAAACAAGGTGGGGAATTCATGCAAAGCATGGCTTCTGGGATTCATTTCAACCCCTTTATCAGCCATACCAATACAAGGAGTCTGTAATGTCTTCTGTGGAACTATGTAATGAGTTTTGTCTGTACGTGCATGTACATAATATGCACACTGGGAAGCCCAGGACAGACTGCCTATGACCCACAGAAGAGCTGCTATTAAGAGGCCCTATTCTGTTCTGCTATTGAGTGTTATGCTGCTGACAGACAGATGGAGTCCTGACCCTCTTTACATAATTTTCATACATTTCTTTGGGTTGGAAAGAATAAAAAGCATATTAACCTTTTTCTTGCTTCAATTATCCTACATACACACTTCTAATAATAAAATAATTGCATTCAAATGTCAGTCGCTGCAATTGGTGTCTGATTTCATAAAAGAGATTTCATAGAGGATAGAAAAACAAAGACATTCAAGGGATATGCAAGAGAACTGTAATTTTGGATTTGTTCAGGAAGAAGAAATTCACCCTTGATTTAAGATGATAATTTCGTAGTGATTAGCCACGAAAGGGTATTTCTTCACTGTCTAGACAGTTTACTATATGTGAAATCTACTTAAAAGTAGAAGACCCCCGCTTTTTGTTGGACTGGAGACAGAAAAAACAGTATGACCATTTGAAAGAAGGAATCTGGGAAGAAAAAGTCCGCCTAATTCTGGAATTAGGGTAGAGAATGAATTGCACTGAAGTTTCATCTTAAAACAGTTTAAAGAAACACAAAGTCTCACTCACTCACTCACACCCAAGCACCTGTAAAGAGACAGACAGACAGACAAAACCCAACCTCAGAATAGCAAGATTCTCTGTCCTTTTTAAGTCCCAAAAGCTTTGTTTAACTGAAGAATATCCTTTTTGCTTGGAAAAATTATTGGGCAAATTCTAATACTGACTCCAGATACATTTGCAATTCCTACTGAAATTCTCAGGTGAAAGGAAAAACAGAATACACTCATCTTCAGCATACTTTAATCTTGGGGTATTACCAAATGTGAATTTAAGGAAGGAAGTTTCCCTTGAAAACTGAAATATGTTGACAACTTTGATTTCCCCTAAACTCCTTCCTTCTCTGGGACTAACTTCAGTAACTAACCTATTTTTCTATACAATTCCTTTCCTGGAAAACTTCATCATTATTGCTTTTTCTAGGCATACTCAGAGAGAATTCCCAGGATCTGAACTGGCAATGGCCTATACTTTGGCAGAACAAAACCAACCTGTAATGCAAACTGGTTTTTCTAGTGAGTGAAATAAATTGATTATCTCCCAATACTTTTGTGTTCTATATTCCATGACGTTAGGTAAAGTCAGTTTTCCTCAGTTCGATTACCTTTTTTAAACAATGAGCTTCTCCCTTTCTTCACCTAGAGAATGGAATTGCACTAGCTTGCCATGCCACCTATCAGTTTTTATAGGGTAAAATCAAATCTGAACTGGAGAACGCTTTCAGGTTTCAGACTAATTGGGTGACTGTTTATGTTCCGTTTCAGAAAAACGGTGTCCCTTAACCAGAGACTTCAATGTGTACTGCTTCAACATTCAGTCCACATGCAACATGTAGACCACCCTCCCCCCCACACACACACCACACTGCACAAACACACATTCTTTTTATAATTTCATGAAACACCTGTGTAAATTTAAAGGCTAACCTGACCTCACTCTGAATAAATCAATATTTCAAGTACTTCTTAAGACCATTTTCCACACATCCTGATTAAAGACTAATAATGAAGATTGGCATCTTTCGGTGAATATATTGGATCTGGAGTTTGGAGAAACAAGACTGTCTGGAATCTCCTACAACTGTTCTATGTCGTCATTCAGGGCTTAAGTCCCTTTTCCCTTCCAGAGAAGGCAATGGGAGAGCTTCGGCTGTACGTTGCTGTTACTTGGAAGAAATCTCTCGGAGTGTGAACACATAACCACAAGGAAAATGCCATCAGAGCTACCAAGAGTGGTAGCTCCTCACAGTCATGTGATCCAAATTCAGGCTTTGGCATCCAGCTTGTGTTTACAGTGGTCGCAGCATTCCAGGGCCGCATCGCCATTTGTGACCTTCCTTGCTGGCTTCTAACAAGCAAGTAAAATGGGGGAAGCCAGACTTCTTTAAGGACTATATGATTCACTTAATAATTGTGGTGATTTGCTTAAAAACCATGGCAAAAAAGGTTGTAAACATGAGGTGAGACTCACTTAGCAACTGCCTTGCTTAGCAATGGAAATTCTGATCTCAACTGTGGTCGTAATACAGGGACTACCTGTACTCCAAAAGAAGGCAAACAGCCTAGAAGAAAAGGAGAAAGGCTGGTCCCACCCTCTCCCTCCAAAGTAGAAGTCCATTCTTCAGCAATGTTTAATTTTTCCAACCTTCCCAAAGCAAAATGCCGAGGGAAAATCATTGAAATCTTCCATAAGTTATATATTTTTACCTTTACTTAATTTTGTTGTTGTTTTTTGTATTGGTTACAATGCAACTATTCATCTGGAGCATTCAGAGGCCCACAGCGATTCCTTTGACATCTTATATCTTGCGGCACTGCAGGGAAGGAACTGCTTTTCATTTTATCTCCTCCCTACGAATAATAGAATGTGTTAAGGTAGCTTTCTGTCTTACCTTGGATTTGGATGCTGTTTGGCTGGAAAGAAGGATTGCTCAGCGAACCATTCGTCTTCAAATGCACTTCTCCAAATTGCTGGGTTGTTGAAGGCTGTGATGTTCTTTTCTGCATGAAAGGAAGGGGAGGAGGAATTCTCCCATGGCTTATAGGGTGAGGGGGAAAAAGGAACAGAAGAAAACCTGAGATATTAAGAAAGAATACACCACGAACGGTAGTCAGGTGTCTTGCTCAAAAGGTAATATTTATTTAAAGTTTTTAATATATTCTCCCAGTGCGGGGAAAAATATTTTTTAAAAGTGCTAAATTCTCAAATATTAGTATGTATAGTGCCTCAGAGAAAGGAAACTAAGACCTTCCATTCTATTTATTAAAGGAGATCGTATTTTACAAGGCATATATTTGAAATGGTTGGGAATCTACCTTCTCCTCCAAATATTACATGGCATAATTGATTGGCTCCATGGAAAAATGCTGAGAAGGAAGAGAAGGCCACACCATTTACAGCAGAGCAGAGCACAAGGGGAAATGGAGGCTGTGAAGCTTTCCCTAAAAACCCATGTTCGTTTTGCAAACATGGCCGAGAAGAGCTAAATCCTCAGGAAAAACTCATATATTTCTTCACTGCCGTGAGCAGAGAAATGTCATATCCTTAGTTTTGATCTTCACTTAGCTTTAGAATGTACATCTTGCCTCCCAGTGCTTTGACTAAGAAGCTAAGATCTCAATTAGCTTGTACAAATACACAATTATACATCTACTTTAACTGCATTCATACAATCATTTGTTAGCTTTGAGGGATCAGGATACTGCAGATAGATTGCTTTCTTGTCTAAACTTCTAGAATTTCTTTTCAGTTTAATAGCTGAACATTTTCTTTTAAGTTGTTTTGGGGTTTTTTTTTGTTTTTTCTTTTACAAAATTTACCTGTGTTCATGAAGAATAGCTGTAACTGTCACCCAGTAACAGACAAAACAAAATCTTCCACAAACTATTGTGCAGTTAGATCTTTTAATCTAAGAAAGACTTCCAATTGATTGTAGCGCATTTTGTATTGCCAGACAGGTCTCCTTTCTTATAGACTTTAGTGGATGGGTTTTTTTTTTAATGATTTATGAATTGCTTCATGAATTCCTGAGTTACTCCAGTTGGTGACTATAGCATTACTTATATTGCCTACCCCTCTTACAAAAGAGATACTTGGCCTTATTTCAACCAAGATCTGTGCCTAAATAAATCACAGTGCTACTGAGGGAACAGCAAAATAAATTTTGCATATACAGTGATTAATACCAGCCTGTAACCTCTAGGAAATTGCCACCTGAAATCATGTCTATGCCCTGCAGTACAGTATATTTTAAACTACAATTTGCTGTTTTAAAAAAGCAGTTCTGCCTTCAAAGGATGAGATCAACTCATGTACTGTTCATTTTTTCATTGCCCAGAGCCTGGCTGTGTAGTTGGCATTACCATTACTTTTTGAATTCCTTACATTTTGGTAGCATGACATAAGCTGGTTGGGTAATCTCCTAGTGAATTATTATAGGTGGTTTAGAACTGACTGGAGTTATTAGTCTATATGCTATAGTTTTAAGATACCTAGAAAAAGCATCAAACAGGATAATCAAATAAATAAAAGGCAAGATATGCCCAAGCTTTTAACAAGATTACATCATTTTGTTAATATTCCTCAAATTAACTCTGCCAAATCAGTCCCAACAATGTGCATGGTGCGTCCCCTCCCATTTTCGTATCATCAAATAAAGACTTTTGTCCTTTAAATGTTATCAAGTATGGCAGATCTTTACTGTAATGTAGAAACAGCCATATATATTTTTAAGCCTCACTTAATTGTTTTCAAGACAATAGTATCTGATTACATTATTCTGATTCTTTGAAACAAGTAGAGGCAAGGTTAGCTCACATTAGCTTCTAACTGAAAACAGAATAGCAGAGTTAAAAAACTTTACCAGGTTGAAAAACAGAAAAAAATAACAGAAAATAACAGAATAATAGAGTTGGAAGGGACCTTTGAGGTTTTCTAGTGCAAACCTCTGTTCAGGCAGGAAACCCTATGCCATTTCAGACAAATGATTGTCCAATCTCTTAAAAATTTCCAGTGTTGGAGCATTCACAGTTTCTGGAGGCAGGTTGTTCCACTGATTAATTGTTCTAACTATCAGGAAATTTCTCCTTAGTTCTCTCCTTGATTAGTCTCCATCTATTGCTTCTTGTCCTGCCTTCAGGCGCTTTGAAGAATAGGTTGACTCCCTCTTCATTGTGGCAACCCCTGAGATATTGGAACACTGCTAACATGTCACCCCTAATGCTTCTTTTCATTAAACTAGACATACCCAGTTCGAGCAACCCTTCTTTATATGTTTTAGCCTCCAGTCCCCTAATCATCTTTGTTGCTCTTCTCTGTACTCTTTCTAGAGTCTCAACATCTTTTTTACTTCGTAGCGATCAAAACTGGATGCTATATTCCAAGTGTGGCCTTACCAAGGCGTTATAAAGTGGTATTAACACTTCATGTGATCTTGATTCTATCCCTCTGTTAATATAGCCTAGAACTGTGTTGGCTTTTTTGGCAGCTGCAGCAACACTACTGGCTCATATCCCTGAGTCCGCAAGGAGAAGGGCGGGATATAAATTTAAAAAAATAAATAAAAAAATAAGTGATTGTGCACTAGGATTCCAAGATCCCTCTCACAGTTACTGCTATTGAGCCAGGTACCATCTATACCAGGGCTTTTCAACCAGTGGTACGGGTACCATCTGTGGTACATTGGCACCTGGCAGGTGGTACACGACCATCCTAGAAAAGTGGTAGTGGGGGAGGGGAATGAGCTGAACTGGTGGCAGCACCACACAAGCCTGAGCAAGAGATGGCTGGAGCTGCAGGGCTGTCAGGGCTCAGCGGAAGCGTCAGGATCGGCACTTCGGGACTGTCATGGCTCAGTGGAAGCGCCAGGATCAGCGCCAGGCTCCAGCTGGAGCTCAGCACTGATCCTGGCGCTTCTGCTGAGCCCAGAAGAAGCGCCGATCAGCTGGAATGTTGCAGCATCTCCAGGGTTTTGTGATTTACATTCAGATGCTTGGCAACTGATTCATATTTATGATGGTCACAGTGTCCCAGGGTCATGTGAAGTGACCAAAACCTGCTGCAACCACCCAGCAGATGGGGGGAATAAAAACCAAACACCCCCCACCCCACCTTTGCTGCCAATCCTCAACAGAAATGCTCACAACAATGAAAACCTCGGACAGGAGGAAGAGCGTGGCCGGGTGGGCATGCAGGTGTCTTGCTCGGCTGTGGCTTGGGGGGCACTTTTTCAGTCCCATTGTAACTTCAAACAGTCACTAAGAAAACTGTTGTAAGTTGAGGACTACCTGTACTTTATCACTTTTTTCCTTTTTTTTTTTGATCATCAAGTTTTTGACACCTTGCTAGGCGACTGGTTGTACTCGGATGTTGCCATATCCTAAAAGTGGTACAATGGGTGAAAAGGTTGAAAAGCCCTGATCTATACTATACCGGTGCAGTTGGTTTTTCTTGCCTAAATGTAGAACCTTACTTTTTTCACCACTGAATTTCATTTTGTTAGATAGTGCCCAGTGTTCAAGTCTGTCCAGATCCTCCTGTATCCTAAGCCTGTCTTCTGGAGTGTTGGCTATTCCTGCCAGCTTGGTGTCATCTACAAATTTGATGAGTTCCCCATCTATCCCCTTATCCAAATCATTGATGAAGATGTTGAAGCCCTGGGGGACCCCACTACACTTCCCTCCATGTAGATGCAGCTCCATTGAGGACTACACATTGAGGGCGACTGTTCAGGCAGTTACGAATCCATCTGGTGGTGATGCTGTCTAATCCATATTTTTCTATTTTATCAAGTAGTAAGTTGTGGTCTACTTTATCAAATGCCTTACTAGACTCCAAGTAAATTATAGCCACAGCATTCTTCTGGTCCACTAATTTTGTCACTTTGTTAAAGAATGCAATAAGATTTGACTGGCATGATCTGTTTTTGACAAACCTATGTTGCCTTTTGGTTATGACTTCGTTTGCCTCTAGGTGTTCGCAGATTCATTGCTATGTCAGAAACTTTGTCAGAATTGTCAGAAGCTTGTTCATATGTTTCTGGCACCCATTTGGCTTTCCTTTCCTTTCCTTTCCTCCCTCCCTCCCTACTCTTCCTCAGCACATGTGTCTTTAGCACTAAGGGTATTTCATTATAACAAAATGATATAATTCTATAATTGTAGTATTATAGAATAATCTCGCAATTGTGATGAAGATTTGGACTTTTCAATTTTATTATCAGTGAAGAGTAGATATTTTTTTTCCTTACAGCATCCATCCACTTCAGTTCTATTTGACAGCACTTTCCTCCCCACCCAATTTACTCCCTAAAAATCAGAAGAACTATATGCGTTCATACAAAAGGTGTCAAAAGGAGCAGGTATTCTTATTGCACAAGAAATGGAAAAAAAAAGATCCTTTTTCATTATATTTGTTACTGTGAAGATGAGGGGGGGGAGGTGTTTGTTTTCGTGCAATGGTAGAAAGCCGCTAGAGCATTCCATTTTTGTCTCAACTTCTCTTATTCTTCAAAATTGTTTCTCTTTTCCCAGAAGCCCTTTTTGTTCGGCATTTCTGGCAATTATAGCAGCGCAAAAATGACTCTACTTTGTGTTTTCAAGGCTGAACCTATCTTCTGTTTTTCTTCTGATTCTGTTGCAAAAGGAATAATTTTCTGCATATCCAAGTGGAACAACCAGTGAATGTCCCCCCCCCAATAAGAGGACTTCCCTCTCTCCCTCTCGAATCTTGTCCATATGAAACATAATACTTCCGAAGCTCAATTTTATGTGATACAGAAGATGTATTATTGGATTTTTGTCATATGTTATTTTTCAATGAAAAACAGTGGCACAAGAGAGGAAGAGTTTAAATCTTTTCCCAAAACCACTCGCTAATTAAACATTTATGGCTGGCTGCTGCTCTGTAAGAGAATAAAAACAATTAAAATTGTTTCCCAACTCTGGGACAACCAACAACTATGGAAAGAAAAATTTGTCAGAATAAAAGGCACCGGAGGGAGAAAGCTTAAGGCATCTTCAATTGTTGGTAGATTTTCTTAAATGTAGTGCTTTTCAATGTTTATTTCTATTATATTTGGGGTGGTTTGAATATTACTTAACAGAACAATCAAAACAGCATTATAATTTTTACTAGTAAAAGCTAAAAGGTTTACCTTTACCGTTTGAACCATTTATCAGATTGCACTTAACGAAGGACTAAGTTTATTTAAAATAAAGTTTTAAGAGAAGAGAAATGGCAACGCAAGGTAGCTTGGACTTTTTGTATTCATGCGTGTTATATTAACATCTAGTTCAGTGTTAATCCAAAAAGATGCTTTATTTTAGCTTGATTTTTAGTTGGTCTTGTCCTCTGTATAAAATCTGAAATGTTTTTTTCCCAAACTTGTAGTTCGTTAACAACTCTTGTATACATTTTTTTTCTGCAGAGTGAGTATTCCTTCCTTATTTTCTGTTACAAGCATATACCTTGAAATATTTGAAGACAAAAGGATAGGACTGCTACAACAAAACCGTGTAAAAACATGTAAGCCACTGAACGTTGTCTTAGAGACTAGGAAATGCTGCAAAGACACATCCTGTGGATTCGCATTGCAAAAAAGTCCTTTCTATTTCATCTCTGAGGAGCAGGAGCTACTGCTTGGTTTTATAAAATCATTCCTTTGGTACCCACAGTCAGTTATTAATGAAAATGTTTTTGGAATATATAATGTAGGCAGTATCTCAGGGAGATTTTTCTTGTAAGACATATCTGATACCTGAGGATTTCTTACATTTGAATTTCACTAGGAAACTGGCTGTACGCTGTTCATGTAGACCAGCGGTTCTCAACCTATGGGTCGCGACCCCATTTGGGGTCGATCGACCATTTCACGGGAGTCGCCAAACAAGGCTGTCCACCATTTTTTCCCCTTTTCCGGCGGGTGCCTTACCTCCCTTGAGCTGGGCCAGCTGGTGGTCGGCCTGCTCCGTCTCTGCCGCTTGCCAGCTACGCCTCGGCCGGCGCAGGGGGCGGAACCACGCATGCGTGGTGCTCCCGGGCAGGGAAAGACCTCGACTTACGACCGGTTGGGTAGTCCTCGACCTACGACCGGTTTAGTCCTCGACTTACGACCGGTTTAGTCCTCGACTTACGACCGGTTGGGGGTCGCGGCATTAAAAAGGTTGAGAACCACTGATGTAGACTCCAATGGCTTTCTATCTTTGAAACCTTGAGATGGTAATCCTCAGACCACTTCTTCTATTCAAAATGATCAGATGCAAGAAGCAGGAGTGGGTAGGGTGGGGTTGGATGGTCGGGAAAATGGCCTTACCTCTCTGTTCCTGGGTCCCCTGTGGATGGGTTGCGGGGGCTCTCGTGAATGCTGGGCCTTGGCGAAGGGAGGCTCACGGCATGTGAGGCAGGTTCATTGCCCACAGCAGTTCCACTTTGATTTGAAGGAGTGCTGGAGAACATGGTAGCTACAACCCGTGCAAAAGCATTCACAATTAATATGAAAGGCGCATTTAGATTTGTCATTCAATTATGGATGATTCTGATTTTCAAAAGAAATCCCAGAAACATAATCAGCTTCCTTTACATACAGTTCTATGTAAACAGAGGCTAGAGAGCTATTCTGCATGGGATGCTTTTATCTGGATCCTTTTTTTTTAAAGGCTTTAATATAATTTTTAAAAAGGAAAACAAACATGCTTAGTATGAAAATAAAAGAAAAAAAGCACATTGTACCTAGATGAAATACAACGCATAACTATATATATTTTTAACAGTGGTGCAGCTCAATTTTTAAACAACAACTTTTAAACAATTATGTCATCTAGTACTTCTGCTGTTCAATAAGAGCCAGTTTAAAAGCCAAGAAAGTACACTTCATCAAGCCAATATCTTTCTAAAAACATTTTTTTTTGCTACAGTCCATTCACAGATTCGCTTAGGATTTTAGGGATTTAGTTTTGCAATACATTATTATATTTAAATCTAATCTCCCTGATTAAACTATTATTGACGGCACTGAGCACATCCAGCCCCTTCGGTACATGCAGCATGGAAAGGTAGATAAAGCAACTCTTTTTAAACATCCCCTGAGGAGTCCAGTAAAGCTCCAAAAGAATTTGAAGAATATAAGAACTATGTTTATAATCTTTTTAACTATAATCTATTTGCTAGTTAGAATAGGATAGTTAAATTATTTATTTTAAATTTGTTGTAATTTATCAATATCAAAATTTATCTTTGAAAGATTCTTTGTTGATAAAACAATTTAGCATATTTGCTTCTATTAACAATGATATTATTGTAAAAACAATTACTCCCCTTCCTGCAAGTTATCCAAATGTTAAAATAAAACTCAGTTTTTAGGGATTTCTATAGAAATGTTCTACTACTGGTAAAAAAAAAAATAGATTTAGTGCAGCTTATTTTGTGTGTGTGTGTGTATGTGTGTGCATATGTATCTCAAACAATACAATTATGTTGTGTAGCCTTCATTAAATTTGGTAAAGAACTTTAATAATCATTAATAAGTCTCAAAATATTATCTGCATACAGTAACACTTTTAGCTGCTACAAAACTTTGATAAAACTCGGTGTCTTTAAGAGAAAACAGCCCTGAAAAACATTTTCCCAGGACAATCCCTAGAAGTTACTTATCTTGCTTAACTGCTTAAGGAATACTCAAAGTTCAGAACTTTTTCCTTAATTAATGTCTTGGAGTTGAATGAGTTTTTCTTGACATACAACCGTCTCAGATATGCTTGCCCTTTTTGAAAATTAACCCTAACCCCAAAAGATCAAAATATCCTTTCATTATGTTATTTAATTTCCTTCTGCATAGAGTCAACTTTCCACCTGTGTTTATCAGCTTTAAGGATATACAGTACTTATATTACATATAATTAGCTGCAATTATGATACTTGGCTCAATTCCACATCAAAATTTGGAGCTGGAAAAAGTTCAGCTGATATTTCAGTTGGAGCAAGATCACCAGAAATAATCAGCTTTTTAAACAATTAAATGTAAGGGGTTTTTTTCTCTCAAGCAGGAGTTACAATACTCCTCAATGGGTGATATAGCACCCATTACTTCTTGTGTTACAAGCTATATCTCCTCCCCAAAATTCCAAAGTTAGTAGTCAAAGAAGATACAAGTTATTCTGCTTACCGATTCTTCTACAAGCATTTATAGTTTTAAACGCATAAAAACCAGTGGAAATTAACTGAAAGTAATGTCCTCCCATCTTGGCTAGAATTCCCACTTATTAAGTAGGACTTGGCCTAAAGTCCTATCTAGGATTCCATAATTCAAATTCATAATTGTACCGTCATGCATTCTCTAAAAATATTAAAAGAAGCAAATATTGGAAGGATGATATTGAAATGCAGATTTCCACCTAATGGCGCCCCCCCCATACAATTGCAGAACTAGGGAAAAAATAGTTTTATCCTAGAATTAAAATATTTGTAAATGAGTTGTCACATCATAACAGAAATCCAGAGATATAATTTGAAGAGCTGCTTAAAATGTAAAGTTATAAAGTCACTATGCTAAAGTCCTATAAACTTGGCTGAAGATATGGACTGATGGAACAGTTACACGTTAAAATGGACAATCGATTTAAATTCACATTTGGCAGAAGACTTCACTCCTAGAGTGTCTGTGGATTAAAACTCATTTTTTCAATTAGTTTTAAGGGAAAGGTTTATATAATTTAATAAAGGGATGTCAGTATCAAAATGCACAAAATGCACACCCAGCTACTAATCTCACACAAAAAGCATAAAACCTCAAGATATGTATACAAAACAGTCCTTCTTGTTTCCTATTTTTATCTTCCTTCTAGTCCCATGGCCTTTCTCCAGTTAATATTTTCCATACACCTCATTCTGGTCCTTATATTCTCACAGTCGTCACAATGCCTACCCCCCATAACTCAGTCAGCTTAATGAGTGATGAAAATGCCTTTTTCTGGCCCATAACTCTCTTTAAAAGTTCCCTCAGTTTCTATGAGTCCCCTTTTCAATAATTTAATAAAAATTATTCAAGTGCATCCTTCGGGGATGAGAGAGGCACTATGATGTTAATTCTAGAGATAACAAATTTCTGGAAACTGGTATTACAAACCACTATGAAAACATAAGATAAATTTTGATTTCCCTATATAACCATTGCTTATTAAAGATTACTAAAAGAACAAGGCATTTTGACTGGTGGAAAATTGTAATCACTACTGTCACTTGAACAGCAAAACATTGTAATCAAACACTCCGACAAAGAGTGGTTAAAAGAATAATGAAGAATAATAGTAATGGACATGTTGACAGCATTAATATGAAGGAAGAAAATTGTCCTTTATGTTTGCCCAAAAAGTCACGGGAAATTTTTCTTTGGTTATTGGAATGTGACTGGTGCCAGTTAGGATGCTGAGACTGTTTTGATATGATTTTGTATGAAATAATTACTGCCACTATTTTGGTAAGGAGATATGTTTTGTATACTTACTCTAACTAGCTTTACTATGTCATGGTGAAGGACCATAAATTGATGCAGTGAACTGCTGGAACAAGCCAAAGGTTCATCTAGAGTCCAACATTGTGTTTCCAATAACAGCCAGCTAAAAGGTATGAAGTCAACATTCCTCCTTTATAATTTATCTCCTAGCAACTAGCATTACCGGCAAGCTGATGCTGAACTGAGGGGGTGGGTTGTCCGATTTTGTCACCATTACTAATATTAATCAATAAGGAGATCTGGAACACATGTTTGCTTTGTGTATTCAGTCGCACCAGCCTCTAGAATAGTCTATTTCACTCTACAATAGAATAATTTATTAAGTTTTGAATTTCTTTTACCTACTCTACCAGCCTATCAGCATTTCATGGCTCCTGTGCATACTTTCTTAAAGATTTATTTCTAAAAGAACCTTCACAGTTTTAGAGTTCCCTGAAACTACAAATACAAATATTGGGGTGTGGGTTATGTATAGTTTATTTTGACATCCCCCCAAATTACCCCCCCAGGTTAGATGAAAACCCCCACCAGAAAATTCCCTAAGAAGTGAGAAGAAATCCCCATGGGAAAATACCCCTGTCTTTTCCATTATTTTTAAACTGTTCATTGCTGACCTTGGGTAAGGCTTATTGCCGGAGAGACCTTGTCTCCATTCATAAGATACATTGTTTCAATGACAAATTAAGGTAGAGATACAATGTATCCAGTGACCTCAAAAACTGGGGAAAGGCAATAAACTCAAAGTGCTGGGATCGCTCAAAGCGGTGGGATCGTAAGCAGACGTTGACTGATCACAGAAAGCAAACCAGATGAAAAGGCATGAGAATATAACACCTATGCCCAAACTTCCTACATCCAAAAAGGATAGTGACAAGAATCATATGCCCTCAGGAAAATCTTTGCTAATAAGGAAAATAACTAGCAAGATTTAAATTACTTTTTAATGTTTTGGGATGTATTTATTGACTCGAGTGAGTAGGTTCACAACACTGCAACTAAACATACCAATGTGCTCACAGATACCTGTCTTTTCATATTCCTTGGCCTATTTGATTATTTGCATATGTTGTGGCTGTTGTTTTGAATGGGAAGTTGCATTTCCTTAAATACATCTGGGTATCAAAGTTTTCTTAGAAAATGAAAAGGATGGGGCCATTTTCTGGGAAAGAGGATTGAAAGGGTAGCAGAGAAAAGTACTGGCTTTGTAACTAATTGGTTCCCCATGGCAGCCATTTTCTGCCCACTTTGAAAATGGTGGATATATTTAAGGCTTATATTAAATTGCATTTTCATATTTTGGGTTTCATATTTTCAGCTTTTACAATAATGGTACCATGCTTTCTTATGTAGAGTGAAAACTTAGAATGGAACACAATACCTTCTCCTATTGACTAGAAAAGGAAAGCAGCCATTTGGGCCAAAATTAAAAATAAAATAAAATACTTAAAACAGAATTTCAGAATCCATAGCTCTTTAGCTAATTACAGAGTTATACATAACTTAAAAGATTCATATTTATAAATATGAACTTCCTAATGATTTTGATGGTGCTAATTCTCATTGGGTAACTCTTAAGACTGCTTACTTTTACTTATTTACTTTGAAATAAACCTAGTTAATAGGACTTATTTCTGACCAGATGTGTGTAGTATAAGGTTGTTAACTGCTTAAACAATAACTTCATAGGTTGATTAACTCAAGATCTTAAAAATATCCATAATTAAAGTATGTGATACTACTCATTTTACAATTAAAGGATTTTTCCGTACTAGAGTAAGCAGCTAACAAAGGGAAAATGTATTTTGCTTATATTGTGGGAAATAAAAGATTTAAAATATCCTGTCATAAATAAATACAAATAATGACAGTCATCTCTATTTCATTTTTTAGAGGACAAAACAAAAATTTTAATGAGAAACTGTCTTCTGAATTAGGAAAGAGGCAGCTCTTTGGCAAGGGAAAGATCTGATGCAAAGACCTTCACTTTTAGCCAGACAGATTTTAATCCATAGTTCACATTTATTGCTTTGGGGATTTCACTGGCTCTTAATCACAAAAGCAATAAGAATTTCCAATATGTTCATCTGCCTCTCTTAATCAATTGTTCCAGCTGCCAATCACAAAAATATCTGAAAGCAAATTTAAATGGCATCAGTAAGCCAACAAAACAGCGATGGCCTCTTGGAAAGACTGATGGATTTACATCGTGAATTTTACCTTTCCTTGGACATCTCTGCCATGTATATTGTTTCATAGCATGCTCATCATAATTGTAAAGTATAATACCAGCCTGTTAGAATATTGCTTTTCCTTCTCAAAAATTAAAATAACTGCAAGAATTGTAGATTAAAATTAATCACAATAGTTATAATAGGCTTTGTAATTAAAAGTAGGTAAGAGGTGTCTTATTACAAGTTCACCTGATCTTTTAATACTAATTATCTATTTTTCAAACCATGTTCTCTGGGAAATTGATGGGGGTCTGTGAGAGTCTAAGAATTTAAAAAAAAACCTCAAATACAATCAATATTCTGTCAATAAATCTTTCTCTCCAGATCAATGTTCCGGGATTTTTTTGTTTTTGTAATTAACCGGTTGGAAAGCATGAAAAAACCTGAAAAGCCTTAATTTAGATTAATTTCTGGTCCCTTGTGTATCGAATGGACAAGGCACATTTTACATGTAATAATTTCTCTTTTCACATTGGAGTGTTCATTATCTTTACTAAATCTGGGCCAATTGCAAAGGAATAAAGATCCTTTGTTATGTTTTCTACATACAAAAGAAGCAATTTGTGCAGGTACAATTTTCCAACTTTACAGGGACAGCTCCAGGAGTGGGGAGATGTCCACATGTGAATTGTGCTGTTGTGACGCAAACACCCCTCTTACATAATTTGTGTGCATCATTGTGCCAGCTGTTTTAGCATCATTGGAGCTAGCTGCAGATGGCTATGCATTGCTGTACAACAATCAAGTTGTTCCATAGATATAAGATGCAACATATCCTATGCATATATTTTTAATATTACATCTTCTGTACAGGTAGTTTTCAACTTATATCCATTTGTTTAGTGACCTTTCAGCGTTACAATGGCACTAAAAAGTGACTTATGACTGTTTTATCACATTTATGCCACTGCAGCATCCCCATGATCATGTGATCAAAATTTGGTCACTGGACAACTGGCAAGTATTTGTGATGGTTGCAGTATCCTGGGATCATGTAATTATCTTTTGCAATGGGAAAGCCAAATTCTTAACTTAACAACTGTTGTTATTCACTTAACAATTGTGGTGAGAAATAAAGAAATATTGGAGAAGGATTCACACACTTTGATACAGAAAAACCCTTAAAGTAATAATAAACATGAAAAAAGGAACTTTTCTTTTGGGCTTAATGGAAAAAGACTTGGGAAAAAAATTTGGAACTTTGATCCTGTATATGTTGACAGCAGCAAGACTACTGTATGCACAAAAATGGAAGGACATTTCAGTTCCCACTATAGATGAATGGCTACAGAAGCTGATGGAGCTGGCAGAGATGGCTAAATTTACTGTTTTGATTAAAGAAAGGAATACAAGTACCTTTGTTTCTACATGGAGACTGCTTCTGGAATTTGTGTTTGAGGCGGAAAAAAATGAAACTTTGATTCACTGATTAGATTGATTTGTTGTTACAGAAATGGCTAGTTTTTACTATTGTGAAAAAGTAAAAAGATGAGGTTCGACGTTAATGCTTTATTCTACTGCAACAGGGGAAGTCGGAAGTCAATCTCTTTTTTTCCCTTTTTCTTCCCTTTCCCTCACTTTCTTCTCCCTTTTTCCTCCCCCTTGCGTCCTACCATTTGCTTTGTAGTTTGTATTTTACCTCACAACTTAATAAAATGTTAAAAGAAAAGAAAAGAAAACCAACTGTGGCGAGAAAGATCATAAAATGGGGCAAAAATTCACTTAACAACTGTGTTGTTCAGCAATGGAAATTTTGGGCTCACTTGTGGTCGTAAGTCAAAGACTACCTGTATTGTGCCAAGAAGAGAACAAAAAAGGTGTTCAAAAAAGGTAAGATCAAAATCCCCCAAACCATGTGGCTAGATCAGGGGTAGGCAACCTTGGCTCTTTTATGACTCGTGGACTTCAACTCCCAGAATTCCTGAGCCAGCATGGCTCAGCTTGGAAACCTCTCCCTTTCCCCTCAGCATGGCTGGCTCAGGAATTCTGGGAGTTGAAGTCCACGAGTCATAAAAGAGCCAAAGTTGCCTACCCCTGGGCTAGATCCTCAAGGGCAAAATCACTTTTACACCCAACACACAATTATTTGATTTAAAAGATGTGTTATTTCTCCTCCTTAATTTTATCATATAATTAATGCAAACTCATATATAACACAATACACCTAAAGAATGGCATGGAAAGATAGAGTGATACCTTTCATTAAGAAAAAAAAGCATGATATTCATAGATTTTTCTATTTCTGAAAGATTTGCATGAAAAATAATTGTGCCGCTGTTTTTAATTCTTTTAATAATCTTAATATTTTCGTGTTATGGCACTACTTGTAATTCAGTGCTATCAAACCAATATCCTTGGAAAATCTTTTCATTTCATTTCTGTTCTGTTTTCTTCCAAAGTAATTAAATGCTTCACATAACAGCTATTTCCTTCTTTTCTTCTTTCCTTGATCCATATTGTGGGTCTTTATTTCTATATTAGGAGTTACTGAAATATCTACCTAACAAAACTTATAGCCTGATTAATCAGACAGAAGCAATATTAAAGTACAGTATTTCTTTTCTGTATACCATGAAATAACCATGCCGTGTAATAATGTGTAGCAATGAATACATGTCTCAGGGATTCCATTCAACTAAACAGCAAACATAATAGCTTGTATTTAAGTTATGAATTAAATTGATTGTTCAAGGGTCCAATCAAATAAACTCCTAGTGCTACCAATCAAGAAGCATTATGTAGCAAGTGCAAATTTCCCCTCATAATAGGTTTATTTAGGGGAAAAAAACTGGAAGAAAATATGGACAGAGAGGAAGAGTTAAAAATGGAAAACAATGTTTCCTGGCTTCCCTGACTATTTCATTAATTACATGGTGTAATTAAGCAATAAATGCTTTACTTGGAAGCATCCTCAAAAGCTTGTGAATAAAATATAATGATTTTATCCTGGAGCAGTAATTATTGAGAATATTTTGTCAATATTCTCAATATTTTATATTCCAGGATAAAATTGTTTTAAAATAACAGATTTTTTAAAAAAATCTCAAAAGCAAAACAGGGTGACAGTGTACAAATCACATAAAATTTGAAGCAAATCCATTAAATAATATTACTAGGGTTTTTTTTAAAGTATGAGATATTTTATAAAGATTCTCTATTTTGTTACAAACCTAATCTACCATAGATATTGCTGTTTATCAAGCATATACCCAGTGAAATTTTGTAAAGATTTAGGGCAGACATGTCAAACACAAGGCTCGGGGGCCGGATGCGGCCCGCGAAGTGGTTTCATGTGGTCCGCGAAGCCATCCTGGAAACAGTGAGGGAACGGCCCCCACTACCTTGGCCCTGGCCAAAAGGCCGGGAGCCAATGTACAATTTTGTGGTGGCCATCTATGCTGAAATGCATTCAGTCTCCCTCTGACTTTGCCCTGGTACCCATCATGAACAACCTGGCTAAGGAGAGCAAGCACAGCAGCAACAGCCTTGAGGAGGAGGTAAGTGCAGCTGGGCGCCCCCTTGGGGAAGTGGGGCTGGGCCTGGTGCCATGGGTGCTTGAGGGTCAGGCTGGGCGTTTGACCTCTGCTGCCCAGGGCTCCCGGCAGCCCGCACCACCATCCAGCACCCCCCCACATGGCCTGAGAGGAACAGTGAGGCTCCTCCAGTGGACCATGTCTTGGCACTTGCCCTGGTCCCACCCCCTTCTGCCAGAGACCCTCAGATCTGTCCCACTCCTGCCCAGGCCCCCACAGGCACCATTGACACAAACAATGTAGAGCTGGCCATGCCCACCCAGTAGGCCACACCCATTCCATCCACACCCACCCAGAAGGCCACATCCACCCTGACCACACCCACCTGGCCCCCCAAGGGCAACTGCAATGCTGATGCGGCCCTCAATGAAATTGAGTTTGACACCCATGATTTAGGGGGTCCATCAAGCTAGAATATAGTTAAGTATTTTGAGGAAATGATTAGCCAGGCTAAAACAGCAACTTTCTTCCCTTTTTTTCATATTACACCTGGAAGGATAAATTTACATTAGGCTTGCAGCAATAGATACTTGACACATCCTTTAATGCCCACAATTTACACTTTTTTTCTGGAAGAAGAGCTGAGAAGGGATTTTTCAAGTAATGTGGTCACATTTCTTTGAATTATTTTGTCTATTACCGTATTTCCATGTATTATTTTTAAAACTCAGCAACAACAAAGAAACACAATTACACCATATCTGATGTCATTTTGGAAATCTAGATGTGATTTACATCTCTGAAACCAAAATTTATTTTTGTTTACTTATTTTTCTTGAGCATTATTTATATTAATAAATAAACATAAAATCGAAGAATACGATACCTGAGTAAAGGTCATGGACATGTCCCGGTGATTGTTGGACAGTGCTGGCAGAAACATCATGGGGAGATGAAGGGACCTGAATAGCCTGGATAGTCAGGCAGTCATTGAGAATGTCTTGATCAAGTTCTGTAGTGGCACGCAACTGAAAGCAAAACAGAAGGTCAGGGCAGAAGTTTATCTGTATCACAAGATGGCCTGCTAATATCTTTTTAAAATTGATTTATTTCCAGAGCTGCACCCAAGGGGAAGAGAGGCCAGAACTGTCATAGTGTCATGCCTTAAGACATATAGATACTAAGGATTCCCCTTTTACAATCAACAATACAGAGTCCAAATCTGGAAATTGATTATCTATCATACATACCAAAAGATCAAGAAAAAAAGGGGGGATATAATAACATCTACTCTTAAAACTATTCTAATTTTGAGAATTCAGGGTTTGTATTGTGTATTGTGACCAAAGAACAGTGGCTAGTTACCAGCTGTCAGTTCAGTTTATGCTAACCTCAAATATAATTCTTCAGTATTTTCTCCTATAAAGCTATATGTTATATCTAGGGTATATCTTCACTAGACCTTGCTATAATTTTGGAGAATAAGCAAAGCAAAACAGCATTATTAATACTTGTCAAACTTCAAAATAATTCTTTATACTTGGGATTTTGTCTAACATTATACTAAGTAGCTATTTTAAAAAAGTAAAAAGATACACAAAGTGTTGTAGTTTTTTTACAACATTTCTCATTTATCTCCATCCTTCATCTCAGAATGAGATGTTTCTCATACTGTAACCATGAACTCCATTTTCACCAGCTATTACCGCTTTCATGCATATGTATTTCTGAGGTCAAAGCTACATATTCTTTTTATTCATGTTCTTAATCTATATTCTGCAGTTAATTTTAATTACTATGAGATATTATTCAAAAAGGGTAGCTTTTATAAAAAAAAAGTTCAAGGTTATATTATTTACCCTACATATTTACTTCAACAGGGTTTTGTTTATAACTGAAGCTTACTGGCAATTTATCAATTTTATATACCATGAAGGTGATTCTATCTTCCAGAGGCATTAGAAATATTTCGGTGAGGGAGAGAAGAGAAAGGAGTAGAGAGAAAAAAAGTACTGTGATATTTTATTGAAGCATGATGGAGAATCCTTTAAAGTAATGACCTGAACATAAAGCAGAAAATAATATACTTATTATACTGTGAAAAGAAAAAATATTGGTTTCTTAGCATTTGAAGGACAGCCTAAACTCTAATGATAAGATTGGTTGGACACCCTAACCCAGTGACTGAATCTTCAGCTCCTCATGATCTACAAACTACAAAGGGACAATAGGGTGTAGGTAGAGAGATAAGAATTTATTCTTATCCCCTCTTGGTCTATTACTCAGCCTACTCTTCTTTGAGTTCACTTCCTTCTCTCTTTTCTTCCCAAATGCTGGTTTCAACCCTCAGTAATGCTTATATGCACACAAAGACACTTCAACCTTCAGCAAAATTATGATTGCATTCAGAAGTAATCGTCAATGGAGTTAATGTCCAGATAAATGTGCAGAGTAGAGTCTATTTAATTTTTGCTTTAGGTATGAATAAGTACTCTTATTTTAGCAGAATACATTCTATATCTGAAAACAAGAGCAGTTCCCAGGAACAAAGTTGCTTATCTAAGTATCCTAGAAAACAAGGCACCATCTACACTAATTTATTTTATTTTTTTCTTGACAGCTCTTCTAATTTTTATAAGCTCTTAGAACAATGAATGGAAATTCAATTCCCATCATTTTCTCATTTCAGATTTGATTGGATAATCACCCATGATTTAGTAAAGCAAGTAGATGTAATTAGAAGGGAACAACGGCCTTAAATTTCTCAATTTTCGGTTGATTATACTTGAATGGAAAAACAGCTTTAAGTTGGTGTGAAGCATGAACAAACTTCCCAACACAAAAGCTATTAAAACTTTTCTTTTTATTTTTCTTATCACTTATCATTTATCAGAGATTTCTGTTCACCTTATGGAGACTCAAAATAATCTTTATTGTTCAGTAGAAATCAGATGCCACTAAAATATGCTTCTCAATACATTCAGCCAGGAATAAAATACTTGATATTTGTTTATTCTTGCAGATAATTTTGTTATAAAAGCATGCTAGAAGGAATCATTTATTACTTTGACTCCTACTTCTTATTATTGTATTATTTAAAAATTCCTTCTGAAGTCTGACATTATAGAGTTAGATAAGCATTATGGAGCCAAATGAGAAGGTTTAAAAGCATCCAGGTAATGTTATTTTCTCACTGCAGCATTAGGTAACAATCTATGGCAGAATCAGTGCCTTGGTGTCACATAATAATAAAGAAATTGAGACTTAAATCTTTAAAATCCACGCAATATCCAGAGACGGGAGACAAAAATGTAAAAATGCACCATTCCTGCTTATAAAATTTGCACTATTGGGGAAGGGATCAACAGAATACTTATTCTTAAGATGCACTTTTCATAATTCATAAAAAATATTGACATCACATTAAGGTTTATTCTGGTGGATGTGCTAAGTCGATAAATATCTCAAGGACACTTTTCCACCCACAACCTGACTGAGCAATACCTTTAACACACCAATTTTACCCAGTTTACAATATGAGGTTTCCAAACATTATCACTTCTGGTGTCCTTTCTGGCTAACTCTTAATCAGATGTGGAGGAAATAATACTATATTCATTTTCTCATATTTGTTGGATATTTGCTGCATGCATGTTCATAAATATAAAATACAGAGTTCTCCAAGCAAGTTTCATTAGATGATAGTCTGGTCTAAGGTAACACATATACATATACTGTACAATCAAATTTTCCTAAGCATTGTGGATCACATGTTCACCTCTTAACTATTTTTCCATGAACAGGCATTGTCACACACAGATTTTATGAAATGAAAGTCTAAGGCCAGTCTCTACCTGCTCTCTTAAGTAGACCTATAAAATCTTTTCATGATGACAGATAGCAGAAACTTTCAACATGCTACTCTTCTTTCTTTATCTTCAAGACATTTTGGCATTTTGGCCTTCAATGATTGAATCTTAGTATATATCAGCGCTGCAGTATATCTTCAAAATCCCTTGTCTACATTACAAGCTGTTATAATTTTCATAATTTAGTTCTTTTGTCTATCGCTATGCATATTTTCCAGTGATCTCATGTATTTTTTTTCTTTCTGATAATAAAAGAGAATAAAAAAGTAACTAATAGATAATAGGTTATTAGAATATAACAAGATATATGCTTTATAAAATCTAATCTAAATCCATAGCCACTTTGGTATAGTGGTTAAGATGTTGGACTAGAAACTGAAAACTGGGCATTCTCTAAGGCAGAGGCCCCCAACCTTTTGGGCACCAGGGACTGGTTCCGTGGAGAAAGGTTTTTTCACGGACCGGAGGGTGCGTGGTTTTGTGCGCTGCCTGCATCTCGCGGATGGGGCTTTGCTTTTGTGTGGCCCAGTTGCTGGCATGCCGCAGCCCGGTACTGGTCCACGGACCAGGGGTTGGGGCCCCCACTCTGAGGCATGGAATCCAGCTGGGTGACTTTGGGCCAGTCACTGTCTCTCAGGCCAACCCACCTGACAGGGTCGTTGGAACAAGAAAGTGAGAATATTATATATGTCACCGTGGGTTGCACTAAATAGAGGCAGGATATAAATCTAGTAACAGAAATAAGTAATGAAAAAAGGAAGCATTCTATCCCCATTATGAGGAAGATGCCTCATAGGGAAGTTGTCAAACAGGTTAAGAGCGCAATAGCATCCAGGAAATGAAATTCAAAGGTATTTTATATCCTTTAATGAACATTGCATGTAGCCATTATGACCAGGAGGTATTAACTCCTTTAAGGACATCCAGATTAATAGCCACACTTATTCTTTTCTTTTTGAAAGTGTACAGTACTTATTCATCATTCATAGTCACTAAATGACTAATAACATGAGATTCCTTTTTATGTGCTGAAATCACAAATATTATTTTTTTTCTTAGAGGAAAAAGCTTTAGCACCCCCTCCGCATTTATTCCATTTCTACAGCATTTTTTCCCACGGCCATTAAACAGTATTGTTACTGTATGCACTAATTTATATACAGTAAGGGAATATACTGGCAGTTATATTTTTGTTCTCTTTCCATTAAATCCCCACATGAAGTTTGTTTATTCAGAATCTGCATACAGAATAGACATTTTCATTGAGATATCTATCCAGCAAGATGTCCTTCCTGCTTAGTTATTTATCAGTTTACTGTATATTCAAAGTCACACTGATTTTGCCCCATAAGCATCACTTTATGCTAACTTACAATGCAGCATGTTTGTATTCTAATATTCATCCACGCTGGATAAATATTTTGAGGTTCTTCTCTGTCCCTTTCTTATTCATCCTAAATAATTTAAGGTCATCAGCAAACCTGGGCATCTCACTGTGAATGATCTATTATTCATTATATTTATTATTTATTATATATATTATCCATTTTTCTAGGTCAGGTTGCAGTTGGTTGCTAATTACTATAAGACATAGTGAGTTTTTTTACTTGTAATCCTTTGCTTTGGGAAATCAACTAAGATAACCTACTTTGGTTTTATGTAATTATCATGGCTGTCACACAATAAAGAAGCATCAACATGACTCTAAATCTAAGATTTATTTCTGCACAAGACTGGGTAACTTTACTGTAGACTCAAGATATTTCTTGATATATTAAGCAGAGTAGTATAATATATCAAGAAATACCTTGAGTCTACAGTATCATAAAGGAGTAAGCTACTGAATAATTATTGATGACAATAGTAGTTCAAACAGATCAGTGGAGGCCCTACCACAATTTATTTAGCCTACCTGTAGTACAAATTCAATAGCCTTTGAGTTGCAATAATTCCAATTACTGTTGTAATATTAGTGAGAAAAAGATAGAGGGGAGAAGGCTAATCCTCTGATCATTTACAACATTTGTTTTGTTGTTTTTGATTCAGCAGAGTGAAAAGAATTGGTTGATTTTGGTCTGAAGTTTTGCATCAACTACATGATTACATTCCTTAAAGTCCTTTCCCCCCCCCATCACTAATCCTCTTCCGCCAGCATCCTT